CTACTTCTTTTTATATATTCACATACATACATCGATCCTATTCGATTTGCCGAGCAGCCATGACGTATCCCTGGCCGTATACATTACCACATCACCTACAGCCGCCACCACAGCCCACACACCCACACCTGGTATTCTTATCCACCACAACCTCCACCGCAACCATATCCAACACTCCCACCATTTCCACCACATCATCCAGCACCTCAGGTCTATCCACATCCCACGACATTTCCACCGCCAACACATTACATACAACCGACACCACATTATCAACCACACTTAACACATTTTCCAACACAACCTATCCCCACAGCCCCGCAGCACATTGCCATTCCCGCTTCAGCTCAACATACGCCATCACAACCACACCCACAACAGCCACAATCCACACCTCAGCCAATTGCACCAACAACACCGCTTACTTCAGCAGATCCCACACACACACAGCAACCCCTACAGCACCTGACATTACACCAACAGCTGTCGCTGCCACACAGCCTCCACAACCTGCTCAACCAGCAACTTCACTTGAGCCTACCACTCAAACTACTTCCACTGACCAAGCCGCTACACATACCATTCCAACACCTAATACACAACCCGCTACTCCAGCGCCATCAATTTCCGTCCCACGTTCAACCAGACCGACACCCTCCATTGCACCTACCCTCAGCACTACACGAGGCATTTGGCGTGACCCAGATCGCTCACCTCCACGAACACAAGCACACCGCCGCTATTCAGCCTTTCCAGCTGTTCCAACCAGCGCAGCTTCCCAGGCCACATCCAGATCCAGGACACGCACTCGATCCCCATTGCCACGCCGACGACGCTCAGCTACACAATCCATAGCCAGCACACAACCACATTCAACACCTGATGAAAGCCACGCACTACAGCCGTTAGCATTAACTCTGGACAAATCTCACCCATCCACCAAAGGCATCACTGTTGCCACCACCACAAAACCAGCTGCATGCCATCACACTCAAACCCAATCCACTTTTCACCCCCAAGCGGACTACCACTACAACGCCCACAGCACCCACACCACCACCCGCAGAAACTGCAGCAATACCAGTTCAAAGACGACCACACAACCTTCAAACTACCAAAATTTCAACCACCCACAGATCCAGCACATTTGGAAGTCTTCCAATGGATCAACAACCACGCCCAATCACTTGACATCCACAATAAACCCATGATCTCGTACGTGGCCAAAGTGCTTACAGCAGCTCACATACAAAGTGGAACGAAGACACCAACAGCAACGATCACCACACTTTCCTCTTACTCACCATCCCAACACTTGCGAGCAGAGGGGACGCACCGACACTCCCACCCACAAGAAGAGAAGCTCCACCTGAACCACTTCCCCCTCCACCAGCCCCCGTTCACCCCGCCCCATCACCTTTAGGCTTAGTGCCCCCCCAACACACCCAACCTGCCAGACACATGGACTCCCAGCGATACACACCTGGATACAAACACAGTACATGGACAGACTTTGTTTCGTACAATCCAGCCAACACAGTGGTCCAGGAAATACAACCTTGCAGGACAACCAGTCCTTGATATCTTTCCCTGGCAGCTCAGTCGTTTTGGCCTTCAAGATCACAGCCTCCGCACTCTTTCACAGGGACGTTACACAGGCATTGTGACCACCAGATCTATCGCAGAAGCTGTCTTCACCTCTCAACTTCTACCTGAGATGCGTGCTCACAACCTGGACATCGACAACATCGCTGAATACCTGCGTCAACAAGCACATCAACCAATTCCCAACAAGACCACAGAAGCCAAACAATTCACGCAGCCTCTGATTTCTCGCATCGTCGACTTCTTGCGAGGACTCACACCACCTGCGGGCGAAGGCACAGCGCTCCGCAAGCTCCAGCAACAGACAGACCGACTTCACCAACAGGAAAGCGAATTGCAAGAGCTCGTGACAAACTGAAAAACCATGGCATAGCACTCACGCCTGCAAAACCTGGCACAGTACCAGCCCCCGCCTCTTCGGCTCACCCCACCCTTCCTTTGACAGCCCCAGCAGCTCTCACAGCCAACACCATACTCAACCCCACATCACAAACCCTACAGGACAATTCACCAGCTAACTATGCGGCAGCTGGCATTCAGAAATGGCTCAAGACATTACCTCCAGCAACGCAAACACAAGCCAACAACATCATGCAGATCCTTCGAGATGAGCGCATCACAAAAGAGCAACTCCAAGAAGCCGCAACACGCTATGGGATTCCTCTCGGCCGCGTGCTCAAACTACCGCCGCGTTCACTTCAACAACTCGTAGCAGCAGGATCAGCCCTGGCGGCCTGACTCGCGCAACAAGCATTGCATCAACCCACTCACACAACACTGCAACAATTGACACAACTCCACACAGCTCTTTCACACTTCGCCCACTTTACACCATTTATTGACAAGACTTATGCGTTATCTACCTTTCCCACCACGACACATACGATCAAGCATGGACCTACGAACACCTCCACATCCAAGATTGGCAACCCACACTCAATTGGCCGTACATCCAACGACACCTCAAACTCAAAGCATCAGGATGGCAATTTGCAAAACACCGTACTACCTTTACTCGCATGTCCACCCACAAATGCCTTTTCCAACGACTACGACGCCGACAGAACACCATCAAACAACCCAACCTACACACCAGCCAACGCCTACACGCCCTGACGGCTCTCCGAGAACTTAGCAAACACACACGATGGGATGCCGAAGGATCGGCGCCCTGAGACTTCCAGATCGCCATGACCGGCTTCTTGGATCCTCTGCAGTTTCAACCCCCTGAGCTACAGCCAAAGCTGGTCAAACGACCTATGACACTTGGTTTTTGTACTTGTACAGCACCTGGCACCGGCCATCACAGTCAAAACGTCCACTTCAACCATTTTTCTGCCAGTTTTCTTTATCCTACAGCGTTCTACACTATTTCCAGGACAAGTCCTTTTGCACTGCTTCACGAGCATGTTCTATTGTATTTCAGTACACCCTATTTCTTCTGATTTCATTACTTTCAGACACTTTTCGGAAGATTTTTGACTTACAGTTCAGCAGGATACTCAATCACCAACCACACAGCTTTCATAGCCTCACGGATCCACTCTCACTCAGTGACTACACCTTTGATTCAGTCCGCAGCCATTTCTACATTATCCGAACGGTGATTTCTGCGAGTTGCCCCGTCCCTGAACCGTACCTGGCCATACATCATCCTGATCAAGCCCTACCACAAGATTCGGGACAATGGCATCACCTTTTGATATTGCTCTAGCACACAGATTGCTCTTAGCGCCTCTACAAGCAGCCACATCCACCGCTACTACATTCCAACACCACATGCACCACGTCATCCCTTTTCATCCACCCACCACCAAACTTCGCGAGGCCGCACACAAGACATTACGGTCACGCCTTTACAACCACAAACAATGGGAAGAACTTTCCTCAGCCAATCCTTCAGCCACCGACATGCCCTGCAGCTGTTCCCACATGCACACTCTGCTCCGCCCCGAATTCACACCTACCATGTACGACGGCCACTACGTCCTGACCTTGGAAGACCTTCAACTCCCAAGCCATCTCCAACTGTTCCTACAAGCCAACATGAACAGCAGTTGAGCCTCTGCACTCGCTGGCGACTCCAACACCATACCACCACCCTCACCATTGATGTCCAATCCACTGGCAATCGCATTCAACACTCCCACATCGGCCAGCACTACATCCACCACCCACAGCAACGCACCATCAACACACAACACCTCCCTCTCATTGTTCAACATGCACTTCAATCATGCATTTTCCAAGCTTGCAACTCATACTACAAACAGATCCAGGGTGCCGGCATTGGCAGCCAACTTTCCCCAGCTCTGTGCAACGTTGCCATCACCCTCATTGAACACACGTGGCAAACTACATACCAAGATTTTCTTCAACAACCCAGCCTACACCTTTTCAATACACGCTATGTCGACAACCGCTACATCATGCTCAACGAACAATTCCGACAAGCACTACCTATCACAACATTGGCCCACCCTGATTTTTACGAACACCCAGTTGAAATAGAGCCAGTGGACGATGACCATCTACTCGGCTTCCACATTGATCCACTCAACAGAACCGTCACTTTCCAGCTTCCCACACACCCATGGCAGATTCGCGACCCACAGTCCGCAGGCAGCCACAGATTACGGCTCTCGGGCCTACAATCAAGACATCATACATTACGTCAATACACATACCCCCAACACCTGATCACAACCACATCCCAACAGTTGATGCAGCTCTATATGACAAAAGGTCATTCATACGAACATTGCGCCGCGGCGCTGCGGCCACGATCAAAAAGAGCGAGATCTTCTGCTGACAGCTGTTCATTTATTCTTCCATTTTATTCGTATTTTATTCGTCTTTACATGACCTACCTGCGCCGGTTTCGGCTTTCTGTGTGTGTCCAACCCTGTTTCCAAGGGCACTATAATAGCTATTCCTTCTATTCCTGTCATGCCACTTGCACAGCGTACCAGCAGGGGGGCAACGGCCAGTCTTCTTACGTTGCCCAACGAAGCTATAGAAGACTGGTGGAAGCATTCAGGGACGCCTGAGTGTGTACCTGCTCTCAATTGTTTAAACCATGATTTGTTACAACAATTCTGTTCGACCGACTTTGCACCCATTTTTTCAGTCAAGGTCTAATCTGCAGTAACTCTAAAGGGCTAATGCACTCCGCGAAGCAGCCTGAAATCGCGCTCTACGGAGCAACCTTCTCAAGTGTGTGTGTGTGTGTGTCTCTCCCTACCTCATCAAAATACAGCATCCAACACTGTTCCAATACGAGGACGTGTCTTGGGCTCAACTCACAAGAAAACTAGAAAAGGCAGGCGCAAATCGACAGCATTTGACATGCTAGCTGAGCAATACTCCTGCACAAAGATCCAGGTGAGCCAGGTGAGCCCCACACAAGAAACCAAAGCATCCATTTGGCATGCAATGGCAAAACCAGCAGATCCAGCAGAAGCACAAACCACCATACTCTGATATACTCTGCATCAACATCAAGACTTGCACCAACTCCTCAGCGGGCGAGTCAATTGCAACAAACCATGGACGACGGCAAGACCCACAGAAGGCTGCTCGCTTTCAAAGCTGGCAGATTCATCCTCAACAACGCCCGACGAGACGACGGTTGAGGCAATGCCGGGCCTACCCAGCCCCGGCCCACCCGCCGCTGTCACGTGCCTCGGCTGCCATCCTGGCTCCCCAAGATTTGCCCATCACAATGGCCTTGGGCCTGGCCAGCTAGTGGGTGACCAAACGAGTCCTGAATCTGAATGGGTGCAACGACCGAAGACTGGTCGGGTCAAAGCGGATGGAATGACTCGTCTTTGTGTGGCTTGTCCATTCAAAGCTCGGGCTATTAAATCTATTATTACTATTGAACACTCGACCATCTTCGGCCAGATCGAGCAGGAGCTGTTTGAAACTCGCTCGCACAGCTGGAGCCGGCCACATTCAAGCAACGCGGCCCATTCAAGCAACTGCGCATAGCGACTCCTAGATCTCCTCGGCTCTCAGGCGTCGCCGCGGCATCGCCGATCTCATGAGGAGAACTCGATCTCTCGTCGGTCAAAGCCAGCAGCTCGACGGAGGCTTTCACTCATGTACTGAGCTCCACAATGTTCTTCATCCCTCATGGCACAAATCAAGAGGCTTGTGACAACCACGTCATAGACTCCGATGGCCATGTGTGTCACAATAAAGGCCAGGATCATCAAAGCAGTGGCGCATGCCTGGTAGGTCATGAGGCTCTCACGGAGCTCGAAGAAAGCAAGGCCCGCCAAGGAGAGTGGCACACCCAAGCAAACCAAGAAGCCTAGGGCCCAGGTAGTCAATTGGTTAAGTGCTACCTGGGCTGGGTACTTGGCAAACAGCTGGAAGGACTTGCAAGCTGACGGAACAAAGGCTTCCCCAATCACCGCAATGTAGATGTATGCATACCTGCAGTCTGAAACACGGATCCACCACAAAGATTGAAAGGCAGCCCCAGTTGAAAAAGCACCTGCGAAACTATGCAAAACTAAGCCGTGCACTGTGTGAGATAACGAAGGCAGCAGTAGAGCATGTTGATGACGCACTTGGTGACACATCGTATAGTCTTGGCCAACAGATTTTGCTCTGTGGCCTCCAGGGTGAGACCCTTCAGAAAACAGTGCGATTATATACTCTTCCTGAAGCAATCATGGCCAGCCCACAACAAAGGATAAGCCGCTAAACCCACCATCCGAACAGCCCGAACGGCCTTCCCGTGTGACCCGTGGGCCTCGCGTGTGTGTCGCTCCACGTATTCGAAGACCAAGCGTGCCACGGTACAAATCATCAAAGCCAAGGAACCAAAGGCCAAGGAGCCCAAGTGATAGCGGAAAATGGTCCCCAATGAGATCACCACTGACACACCACAACAACCTGCCAAAAGTCTTTCTTGGTGAAAGCACACACTTCGAACTTGGGTTTTCAGTTAGGCTCAATTTCCACGATGGGAAGTAAGGTGAGGGAACGGAAAGGTGCAGAGGTCGGCAAAACAGTATGGTTTAAAAATGGTTTCAAAAAGGCCTCGAAGTCAATCTGTACATTCGGTGCGGTGTCGAGCGCAGCTGCAGGAAAGTGGGTTTATGGGAGAAAGCGTGAAAGGACCATGAAACAAACCGATCAAATTAGACAGCGTGGTCAACAGTTTCGGTTGCAGGTACACGAATGGACGTCTCCATTCGCTTCCCCTCCAGCGATTTAGCTTCGTTGGACAAGGTTCATCGCTGGAGGCTTTGCCCCCCTGCCTGTTGTGAATTCACATCAATGGAAAAAGAACGATCGCGGTGGTAGTGGAAAGGTGAAAAGGTGGAAAACCCTTAGAGCCAGGGTGTGACACACACAACACGCCGTGATCGGCGCACAGAGCGAGCGGTGGAAAACACAAGTCTTTTTTCTCAAAAACCGCCTGCACGCGTGCAGGTCATGCCCTTTTTGGGCGTAGAGGTGGACCAAAGCTTCAGCCGCAGCGGTAGCATGGTGGGATGGAAAGGTGTAGGTGTAGATGGAGTGAAGTCGTGAAGCTAAGCCGGACAGAGCCAAGCGCTGGCTACCGGCGCTGGTGTGGTCCCTGATTTTCCAGGGTTGGGTGGGTTGTATGTAGGTGATGGTGCGTTGCTGGAGGTCAATGTTGAACCCCAATAGGTGGAAGTCGTCCACCGTCTCCAATTCGACGGGATCGCCGAAAAAGTTGTTGTGGATGAGGGTTTGGATGGCGGGATGTGAGAGGAAATGTTCATTGTGGACGATGAAACGGTTGTCAACGTAGCGGTAGTAGGCAAAGTGAAGAGCTGTGTGCTGGAGGAGATTGTTGTGTAGCTGTTGCCAGGAGTGTTCGATGAGGGTAATGGCGACATTGCAAAGGGCGGGGGAGAGCTGGGAGCCAATCCCAGCCCCCCGGATTTGCTTGTAGGTGTGATTGCATGCCCGGAAAATGCAGGTGTCGAGTGCATATGCTACAATGGTGGTGATGTCTGCAGTGTGAATGGTGCGTTGTGTGGGGTGGCGTCGGTGGTGCCGGCCGACGTGGGAGTGGTGAAAAGGGTTGCCAGTGGCTTTGGTGTCAACGGTCAGGGTGTGGGTGTCATTCTGGCGTTGCCATTGCTGAACGAGGGATTGAACAGCGTCAATCAGGCGGTGTTGTGGAACTGAGTTGAAGAAGCCCACAAGATCATCGTTGGTGGCATGTAGGGGGATGTCGGGTGGTGTGTCGTTGAGGTAGCAGTGGAAGTGGGACCACAGTTGTGGGATTGATAGTTGACCTGGAAGCTGTGGAAAGAGGTGTTGCAGGATAATGTCGAGGGCTCTGCTGGTAATGCGGAGGAGGTTACCGGTGAGGGATTGAACAAACATGCAACCAGGAACCGCCCTGGCATCAAATTGACGTGTAAACACGTCTCATGATGTTCAGCGTAACACGTCTCATGATGTACCACAACATGACTCTTATCCAAACGATCCCGAACCTATCAGTACATCTGTTGAACACCCTGACACCGCCTTTGAGCGAAGGGCACAAATGATGCTCATGTAGGTCTCCTTGGAAGTAACTGTTGGAAACTGTCAACGCAATTGTTGTATGGTACAGGGCAATGTGGAAGAAGTAGATCCACAAGAAAACCAACAGCAAGCATACAGCGCTGATCTTCTGAAAGTTTTCGACATCCTCCTTCGATGAGATCTTGTATTGGGTCAGGGCGGATTGGAGCTGGTCATTGGATGCTGTAGCCAAGCCTACAAATGCCACGAAGAAGACGACAAAGAATACAGCGAAGCTGGCCAACAAGAATAGTGGTAATGCCAGCAAGGAAGGAACCCTTCGGATCATGTTGCCGGCTTCTTCGAGCAAGGCGATGAGGATTTTGAATTGTCGTGACATGGATAACACCAAGCAGGCCAGCAAAGCAATGAGCACTGCCAACGCGAAAGCGCCAAGTGCAAAAAGCTGAGTGGTGGATTGATCCTCCGAGTGGCTCAGCAAATCTTGCGCTTCGGGCGGCACGGAGATGTCTAAGCTCTCCAAGAAGCTTGTAAAACGGGCTCCTGTGCGGCCAGTTGCGATGCCTGCTTGGACAAAGAGGACATAGTCTGCAGCTATGAGCATGAAGAAGACCACAAGCAATAGCAAAAGCAGCAGAGGTGGCGCACAAACAGGGAACAACAGCATCACGGCTACAGAGAGCACAGCCGCACCGCCGATCCCTAGCCCTAGAACGAGTCCAAGATTCTCAGACACTGCATTTCCAAAAGTATAGGCTGGACTGGTCACAGATGTGAAGAGCACATTGGTGAGACTGTCATCCAAGAGTTTCACAGACACTTCTGCCTCTCTTTTTACCCTCTGTTGACATGCAGCTTCCGGGCTACTTGGTGCTGTGCTCGCCATGGCCACCCGGGCCGCGACGAGTGCGTCAGTGGCACCCTCAGCTCGCCATCCATCTTGGATGGATATATCAGGGCTTTCCAGGAGCCAGAACTTATCAGTACCATCTCGCTGAAGACCACAGACCTGCTGAGGTCTAGTAGGACTCCCAGCTATTGGCTCGCAGGCTGGCTTCACACAAAGCTTGGTGCTACTTTTCACCATGGGCTCCTGGTATGGAACGCACCGCTGAAAGACGGGAAAGGATGGTTGCAGAACCAGCCACGAGCTCTGCCGTGAATTGCCATAGTCTTGGACAACCGCCCCCACTTTTGGGCAGGTCTCCACACACATGCCATAGCGCCCACGCAAAGTGGGATCTTTCTTAAAGTCAGTATCCAAGTCTGGGTAGAATAGGAGTGACTTTCCAACTTGACTGCCAAGGCCGCAGAGGTTGCCATCATGGTCCCTGCCGTGATCAATACGCCGAACATCTCCTACCTGCCAAAAGAAGCCGATCAAGAGGGCGGTTGCTGCCAGAATCACTGTGAACAAAAGGCAGCATGCAGGGTCGGTACAACGGCGATTCACCTTGGGTCCTGGATTCACGCGGACTTGTAGCAAATCCAACTCATCGAGCTCCCTGTGGTCACAACAGCCACAACACGCGCCCATCCCTCGAACAAAGAAATAGCTTGGAACGATTTGGCCTGGCTTTCTAGTTTTGAGGGACTCAGCTGTATGTAAAAAAGTTGTCTCATTGATTCATGGGCATGCTTACAGCATCTTACAGCCAATCAATTAGGCATGTCATGTGCGTGCTTTTGTTTTGAGACGATGCAGAATGGCTGAAGTGAATTTACATCGAACAAAATGACAACTTGTAATTACATTAACTTCTGACTCAACTCATCGTCACAAACCACAATGTTCATCAAATACATAATATCTTCAAGATCCCAGCACGGAGCACAACAGCCTGATCACGGACTTGTACCGCGAGGGGATCATGTGATTCCTGGTGCACAGCCTCACACCGCAAGCGCAGTGCACAGTCTTGCAAAGATCCCTCGACCGCCTTGCTACGTCAAGCGACACCATCGAAAATCGTAATCTTCGACACCTGCTCGTTTCTTCTGAGAACCAAGCGTGGGGAACAGCTCGCGGACCACCTGAACGGCTTCTCTTGCGAAAAAACTCCCAAAAACTTCTTGCTCCTAGTAGTAAGGCCAGGAGACCCTAGTAGCGTCCTTGCTTCTAGTAGCAATGCCAGGAGCCCCTAGTAGCGAACATTGTTCCTTCTCTTCGGCTCTGAATGCTCAGAGAAGGGAATTCTACGATGGAGCTCAGCAGCCTCCCCGCTCAGTCGTCCAGGCCGGAGGGGCGATGGAGCTGAGTGAAAATCTGGCACCTCACAACGACGGGTTCATCTTGTCATCTCTTGTCATCTCTTTTATGCAACATGAGTCCGAATCAGTAAGGTTTCAGAAGCATGAATTATTGGTCGTACAGCTTTGTCAGTGAGGATCCTTGGGATCATGTTTCGAAGCACACAGTTCAAACCTCAAGAAAGCCTCACTGATCCAACGAGGGCACCAAGACATGAAAGGAGGCTGCTGCCAGTCTTCGTGCAACCTCATTCCATTCATTGCGGATTTGCCTCAGCCAATGTTTGGACGCAAAAGTCGGAAGCAAACCTACAGTACAACGACTGCCTGCAAAAAAAAAGTGAATGTCAACCAAAAGCCCAAAAGGGAGTGGGGCTGAAAACATGTCCCTGCGCTATAAGGCCACCGCTCACTATCTTTCCTTGGCTTGTGCAAAGCTCCTGCTGCGTCTCAAACACCACTGCAGTGGCGACATGTTGCATGCTGGGCCGCGGACATTCCGTGGATTAACACCTCGGACAGGGTAACCACCCAAACCGATGCCTCATGCAGCCACATACTAACCCTGGGGCCCGATGAGAATGAACTGCTGGAAGCTTGAACACTGTGGAATGTCTGTCTGGTTTTGCGCAGGCATGTCTTTTTTTCGACGAGCGCTCGTCCTCCTCTCTGGCAATTACTTCTCATTCATGTCTCTCAAGCCATCTCAAACCTTTGGCTCCTCCTCGACCGCATCTGCTTCCAGTTGGTTGCGAGCCCAGTCTCTCTGCCACGAATCCCAAGCTCCGATGAAGCAGCTAGGCCCAATCATCTTGTCCTGGCATTCCTTAGCTACAGGTGACAAACTTGCAATCTATAGACATCTAAAGGTCCAATATAGTTTTACAATTTGTGTCCGTGTGTCAGTTCAATGCAAGGTCAAATATGTTTTTTTATGCACCTGTTCCAATCTCCTAAGCTCTCGCCAAGAATCGAAAATACCACATGGGGACGTTGTGGCGTTCCTCCTTCTCCTGAGCTTACTAGTAGGGCTTACCGTAGGCACTCCAGCCAGTGCGCATGGTCCCACAAAGGGAACACAAAGCTCTTCATGTTTTTTTCCCACCGAATTATCAGGTCCTATGAGGTCCCATTAAATATTGCTGCTACAATCAATGACCAAGAGGCCACCAGGATGTGATAGCTCCCTGGCCAATCTCCAGGCGACTGGATTCGACAAGGCAACCATTGGCCCAGCAAAGGCCCAGGCCTCAAAGCCCCGTCACCGTCTCTGGCGAGGTCTCTATGTTTATTTATGTATGAACCGTGTTCTACACTATTTGTTTAAGATGTATCATTCAATGTTTGGACGTCCCATATCGTTTCGCAGTGTCTCGCACATGAATGATATACAGGTATACATGTTTTGGTGGCACAGCGTGGTTGGCTGGGTGATGCCTAAACCCCGTCATCAATTGCATCCTTGACTTGCCTGCTGACATGTATTTTTTCTGAGAGGAGGGAGCTCCCATCTGTATCACATCAAAGGACCATGCATTGGCCTCAATCCTTCAAACATGTTGGCCTTCTGGGCTGAAAACAAACTTGATGATCTTGATGTTAGGAAACTCATCAAACCACCACAGACTTGCTGGCCAAAGAACTCCGCGACAAGAACCTCCACCTGGTCCTGGTTTCACACGCATAATTAGCATGCAAAAAAAGTAGGCATCAAGTCCAAATCTAAGCTTGTGAGAATCAATTCTTGGATCAATGTGAGCAAAGGCTCTCCAGGTGCAAATCGTCGCTGTTCGTCTAGCACTGGGCCTCGTAATACCGAATGGCAGCGCTGGTTGGATTGGCATTGGCGACACTTGGGAGCTGCAATCCGAAGACCGGACCCGGCTTCGTCATTTAGGCAGGTCACGTAGGGTAGGCTCGGATGCTTCGACCCACCTGACTTTCAATCTGACTTGACCATGGACTCCATGGAAAGTATATGACTAGCGCTGCCACAACACGCAATATTGAAAAATAACATCAAGAAGCAAGCCTTTGCATTTGCATAGAATATCAGGTATCTGCCAAAACTACTGAGGAAGATGTCGTGAGTCACGCCGTGTTCGGAGCTCATGATGCTGCTAGGATGAGCGCGAGATACAATGATGGCACGCGAGAATTTTGCTTGTACATCTTGTTCCCTTTATCAGTACAGTGGTTTTTGAATTTGGTGTCGCATCTTGTCATCATCCCTCAACTCAACTATATAGTTACCTTTATATATAATATCTTCAGTGGGGACTCAAACAGCAAAACTCTGCCAAGCTTCAAGTCTTCATTCTCAACTTCGAGCCCTGCAGCGCTTGGAGAAGCCAATGGTGGTCGGATGCTTTGTGGGCAAAGCCGGAGCCAGCGACCCTGGTCTTTGAGTCGAAATGGGCAAAGCATCAAGGTGCACATGAAGTACGTAATATGAATCCAAATGACTGAAGTTCCCTGAAAGGAGCACTACGGCCACCACGGCTGGCTGCCACTTGGTGGACACTATCTGCATGTTGTACATACATATCATTGGCATACACACAACGTACAAACCATAATTAGCCGAACAGTTACCTTTTTCGGATTGGTCTCTGAGGTTTTATATGGCTTTATCAGCAGTTGTCTAATCTTCATGCTTCACAAAGGATCTATGCCATCATCTATGTAGTGCTCTCGAAGGCATGTCATGTTGAAAGCCCCGTCCTCGGGAACTGCAAGGAACCGCATGCCAAATCTCAAGAAGCCAGTGGCCATATATTCTTTGCCTGGCCCCTCAGGAAATCTGTTCCTCTATGTTCCTCTCAATGCTCTGAAGATCTTGTCTGTTGATTTTGATTGCTTGTTCTTTTGCTCTGTCAGAATGATGCCCCACGGCCCATTCAACCTGCTGAAGCACCAAGGCACCTTTCTCAACAGAGCTTGTTGACTCGCAACAGCATACCTGACTTAGCTGCTGACAAGCCGAGCCGACAAAGCCACCAGTGTTGACATGACAGGATAGCACTGGACAGCCCCAAAGCACTGCAACTGTGTTGCGTTCGCTCCATTCCTTAAGGGCAAGCTCTGGTGGCTGCGGGCATCACCACCACATTATGAAACCCACATCCAGCGCAAACACCACTGTTGTCATCGTCGGGGGGGCCAACACCCTCAGCCACTCTGAGCATTTTGCCGTATCATCCTGCACAAGTATTATCTCAAAGTGACTGAAGAACATCCCCGCCAAATCAGAGGATGTGAGCGCAACTCCACCAATGAACTAGGTCTGAAAGCACGGAGCTGGAAAGCAAACCAGGCTCGACACAACGGGTTCCTCTTTCCACCAAGGATCCTTTGGCAGTGCTCAGAAGCCTTGGCGCGGTGAAGCTCAGGAGGTCCATGGCTTCGGACATCGTGCGATCGCGTGCGATGGTGACGTGTGCCCTTCGCTCGACTCTAGCTGGAGCCTAGAAAGGCACAAACTGTTACCTAGGAGTCTAGGAGTCTTACTTGTAGAAAGGACCACCTATATAGGTGGCCTTCTTGTTACCCAGGTGGTAAAGGTACAAAAAGAAAACCACATTGTAACCTCCGGAGTCCCGCGGGCCACGGTCGAACCGAACTCTTGAGCCATCGGAAAGGCATTGCAATACAACGACTACGAAAACACCCTCCTCAAAAACATCTCCAAAAAAGAGCAATTCAGTTCCGGAGCAACAAGCACCAAATCTACAGCATCACACAAAGGCAAGTGGCGTTGAGCAAATATGATGATAAATGGGTGTAGGTTGAGTGAATCGGATAATAGTGGGACTGTTTCAACACTTCAACTGGGCAAAGGCGTTCAGAAGGACATTTCGCTGTTTTAAATGTGAATAGAAAAACTTATATATTTTGGGGGGGGCGAGTGTGGGGGTTGCTTATTTCGGCTTTCGCTCCCCCATCACTTGCCCACCTTTCTCCTTCTTCTCTTTTTCCTTCTCCTTTTCATTCTACTATCTATATGTTGAAAATACGGCATTGATTCATTTCAATCTAAACACCTTTCATATATAAAAAGAACAGGAAAACACCTCGTCCGTGTGGTCGTAGCATGTCGTAGCAACACTTGATGGTATTGATGTCCTACCTTCAGTCAAGCAGGATGCTTGATAGATTCTTAAGGGTTGGATGGCTCAAAAAAACAGTGATTAAACAAATGTTTCAACGAGAGATTTGGTATACTCAGTTTATCATTTGAAGGGGGGGATGAAGCATCGCCAGTTTTCAGCATTCAGCCAATATTTTGAAAAACAAAACAACAACACGGACGAACCGCCCCTCATGAAGTTGTTGATGACCCGGTCTTCTAACCTCGGTGGGCGCGGTTGTGCAAAGACGCAGGGAATTTAGGGGTAACGAGGGGGACAAACCATGAACAATCAACGTCATTCAACATCAAACCAAACCTAAGGCATCCTATGGCATAAGTGACATAACCTTGCACGAACTGGCTTGTTCCATCTCTCATGCAACCATTCATAGGCGACTTCTTCACAAGTCGTCCTGTTTCACAATTCATATCGACTCTCCCTTGACATACTTGTTCGGAAGCCATTTTTTCACGAGGTTTCTCAAGTCTCAAACCACTCTCCGGTTGCTGCTCGTGCGATGTTTTGAGTCGAGAGTTGGGCCGCAATTGGCATGCCCTTAATGCCATCGAAATGAGCCAGCCACTTGAAGCAGCGAAGGTGATGACCATGGCACAGGCGGACAAGGATGGTTGCAATGACGCCGAGGTGCCTGCCTCTGGTGATGTCGATGTCGTGGAAATGCGCGTGCCTGCTTCTGGGGATGATATCAAGGCCATGGCGCGGAGACAATTGACCTGGGTACTGAAGTAACAGTAGGCCGGTTTCTTGGCATAGTCCGGAAAATCCCTGCAGGGTAAAAGATCCCATCTGCCCATGATCCTGTGCAGTTGCCAGCTGGGTAAACTGACATCTTGATGTTTGATGATGTTTGTGGAGTTGCACACGTGCATGATGGACGATTCATTCCCGTGCCCAAAGCATAGGTCTAACGGGAATGGGTGTGTTGCAAAGCTATAAACCCGAACCGTACAGCTGTCCAGTGTCGCCACCCGCATTGACCTCGATGAGTTCAACATGTGCGTTTGCTCAACAGATTCAGCGCAGCACTTCGGTATGCTATGATCGAGTAGTAGTACTTCTTGGATGGCATGCACATCAATCTCCAGTGTGTACCCCATCACCATTGAAGTCCATTCCAAGGCAACCACCAATAGGCAAGCGGCAACCAGTCGCTTGCAAAGAGCCGGTCGCTGTGACCACTATTGGTAGAGTTGTCTTGGCATGGACCATTGCCAAAACAACTGTACTGCGCAATGCCATGCCACAACACGAAAAAAAAATCTAGAAAGACGAGAATTTGGAACTTCACTTCGAATCTCGCTTGAGCCAAAGTATGAAACGGGATGAAACGGGAACCCCAAGGGCGCCAAGGACCTATTTGGGCTTAAGGGACTGGAGAGGCGAGATACCTTCCCTGGTTGTCCAAGAGCTGCCGAAGGTGCCCTGGGCGTGGAGAAGCGTGTTTATCTCTGACTTGAAGCCATTCCCCCATCACCCATCTGGGTGCCCGGACAAAAACAGCTGGAGGTCATTGAAAAACAGGAAGCACGCGGCGAAGGCACGACGATGTCCCGACATCATGGGTAAAACGAAACGAGAGCCAACAAACGACAAGGTGCAGGCATTTAGCAAGTGAAACGCACAATTCTCAGTGGATACCAATATATTATTCAATATATGTAATCAAAGTCTTGAGCCTGAGCCAATGCGTGGCCTGCCATCCGTATGGCCCAAAATACTGTTTGTGTGAATAATGCAAGCTGTATTGAAAACGTGACCGAATTTCTTTAAAAAAAACAATAAATTAACCAAGACAACAATTACCATCAAAAATCGATTCGTTCAACCAAGTGTTGACAATATGGAAAGTTGGAACCCTGTGAGCTGCAGGCGGCCAAGGGCCCCTCCGCTGGTCCGAACTCACGTATCTTCAGCGGACCATACCTGGGGCCGTCTAAAAGGAGACTTTGCAGGATTAAACCTGCAAAGACAAACTGTGTACCAGGGACTCCTGGTGGGTGCTTAACCCGCTTAACTAACTCAAAAGTGTGACCCCTGAAGCTCTCATTCCCGAGGCCACAACTCTGTTTCCAAGGCTTCCCAGGGCCTCAAGACACGATTCAACACGAGGGAGCAACAGTTGTGGCAAATCCGGGGAAATCGGGGCATGTTCGAATTTTTGCACTTTACAGAATCTGACTTTTGACGTGTTTCGCTGAAATAAATCGATCGATCTCTCTGAGAACCTAGCGGTGGTGGGTCGTTGGCAACAGCAGGTGCCAAACTACACATCACCTTCAGGCACTGGGGGGCTGTCAATTACCGCTCAAATGCAAACAAAATTAAAGGATCTTCCAGGCAAACCCTGTCTCACCAAAGTAGCGTCAACCCACAAGGCCCTTCACAAGGCGCATTGTAGCTATGGTGTCTGAGGTGGGTACAACAGCTGACAGCAGTCGTGGCAGTCGCAGCTTGGCAACCATGAAGCCAAATGATGTTTGTTTCGATCAAGTCGATCAAGTCAGTGATTTGTTGGTCATTCGGGGGAGATGTGACCCCTTTCAGCCGCTTATATAGTGGCTTAGTGTCCATCCAACAGCTAATCTGCTACAGGTTCGGGTAGGCCGAATCACGTCTATTCATCTGCTTGGATTGTGCCCTTGTGCCTGCTTGAATTGTCTTAGCGTAAGCAACTGCTCACCATGTTCTTCAATGCGGCATGGGCAGCTTGCGGAATCTGAACAGAAATCTTTCTATTGTGTCTCAAACTGCGACTTGTGCGTGGAGTCTCACAGATTTGGAAGCTTCGGCGCAGGCAAAGTCCACTGTGTTTCTCCACCACGCTCGGATACAGAAGTCCCGGGAAGTCCCCGGCGACTGAACACCAGTGGCCTGAGCTGGACGGCGGTGCACCACCTGGGAAACAACTTGTGAGTGAAGCTGTTTGACGCGCACCGTCACCAAGAAGCTCCTACTGAGATGCCGAAAACATCCAAAATTCTGGAAAGCATCTGCAGCCTCCAGTGGCCCCTCGAGTGTTTCCATCTTCCTTCGCCTCAAAAGTGGCTTTTCAGCTTGCGCCCGCTTGAAAGGATAGGTGACAGGCCGTCTTGCGGGGCGGTGGTGGGGGTGGCACCTGGGCTTCTCCAAACATGTCTAAACTGTTCTGCTCTGGCCAATTCATGGCTTGGCTTCGACTGATCTTGACAACCTAAGCGTGGCACTGTGAAGACGCGTTTTGGCAGCCTCAGAGTTATATATGTATATATACATATGATTCATAATTACAGTAAATATGTGCGTATGTGCGCGCAAACAATTCTGCCTTGCGACTTCAAGTCGCTCACTATGGAGGGAACGAGAGGAACAATGTAGTAAAATATGCAAACGTATTGTAATTATATAACATATCATTATCAAACAAACAAGCCTTATCAAGCCTTCTCATTCCACATCAAATTGTTGGCTGTAACACTGGGCGTCCACAAAAGGAAGAACTTACGATCGACATTGAGTCGTCTGCGGCGGTGCTTTCGCAGTACTCGCCGCTCGTGCGGCATCCGCAGCAGGGGATCGGAAAGGGCCTAGACCTGAGGAGCAGATAAACCTTCAAAGGCCTTTCACTAGCCTCCTCATTCCAAAACATCAAACAGGAAGCACAAAACAACCCACGAAGCACCAGCACCTGGCGGTTTGGCACCTCTAACTCCATGCAGGAAGTCCCAGTCCACGCTGCCTGGTTCTCCGGCCCACCCAGCGATGATATTGACACTCAAGCAAGCTTTTACCCCATGCACACAAGCATCATGCATCATGAAGCATAATGCATCATGAAGATTCAAAAATTATCCACCCACAGTTGTTCAAATTCTCAGTGGCTTTGATGCGGTATATAGTCGTGTTGAACCACGTTGTACCTCAAAACCCCTATCCAGCCAATCGCTCAATGAGTTGCTGCTCCATATCATCAGGCACGTGCAATTTGCTGTCATAACGCATCGAAGCACATCTTTATGACTCAATCCCTGACCCTCAGCCTTCACTCTCGCTGGACTCCAGGTCCTCATCGCTATCAAATAGCCTCAGCGTGTTGAACATGTGTCCAAATCCAATCGAGCGCCTTGTCATGTTTTTGCACCACAATGAGCGTGCGGCAAGTCATCAAAGTCGTGTGTAGCACCTGAGACCGGATCTACATGGATGGAGAAACATTCGCTGGCTAGAACCCAAAGTCATGAGGGAAATCAAAGACAAGTGTTGATATCTTAAGCGAATTACAGTATACTGTATGTGGCTGTTGTTCTAATCTCTTGTCCATGTTCTGGATGGCTATAGCATTTGGCAGCCTTCCAGACTTGCAAGAGTTTCTTCGGAATGCCCGCATCTCTTCGCCCAAAAATCCGTTTCCATTCCGGTGAAGCTGGCTGTTCTTATGTCCAGCCTGTCCAGAGATGTGCTTGACAGCTGGGTCTCCAAAAATGAGGACGCACACCACCTGTAGACCACATGGAGACTGAAGACAATGACATGAAGACTCATTGGATACCCATGAACCATCATGAACCAACATGAACCAGTCCAACCTACAAGATCTCACCATGTTTCTTTCCCACAGTAGCAATTCTTGTGGACTCAACAAGCAAAGCTGTAGTGGCCACACAAGTGTGCTGATACATTTGCAGTTTTGCCTGTTTTAGAGGAAAACATGGCTTGTGACTGGCCTGTTGTCCCAACCCTGCCTAAGCCTCTCATGACAGGTTGGCGACTTCCACCTGCTCCGCTACAGGAAGGAGCTCAAAGAGACCCTGTGTGCGGCGTTTATACAGATCAATTGCAAAGCGGAAGCTGTGGAGGAAGCCTGGACACAGCCTGGCCTCCACGAGTCGTTTGCTGGGTGCATACAGTACTACCCTCCGATGGAGGCCGAGCATGTTCCAACATCTTATCCAAACCTGTTATTCAAAGGTGGTTCCAGCCATCATCTTAGCATCTCCAAACCCTAGCCTGAATTTTTAGCGTGCTGAGCCCTCATGGCATCCAGCTGCTTGAGTGTGGCCCGGGCCTCAAATGCATTCCTTTGAAAGGCTGTGCACAACATGAAGAAGCATTGCTAGCATGTTTACCAATCAAGCGGGCCATCTGTGGGCCTGTCCGTGCGCCCACTCTCAGCCCGTGGCATGCAGCAACAAATCATCCAGCGCGTCACTCATTTCCTTAGGCTAAAGGGAATAGCAGTCCTGATTGCACAAAGGTTCGGTCACCAGCAGCTTGTCACAGTGCCGTCAAAAGTACGGCCTGGACATGTGAACATCGCAATTGAACTACATGTGCATGGACTGTTGTGTTTGTTGCAAGGCCACTCTTGCAGGAAAAAAAGAAAAAGGATGGGCTCTGATGATCTGAGGACATCCCTCAACCCGTGCTTTGACAAGTACTTACCTCTCGAAGGCATCGCAAAGCTGGGTCCCATGCAGTAGTTGAGAAACTCTTTGACACAGGAGGCCTTGGTTGGGCACAAAGGCAACGCTTAAAACGTGTCAATAGTCAATAGGCCGCCAATAGGTGTCAATAGAGCTTGTCACGAAACCAAACATTTTGCCTTTAGATGGTTGGCCTGCACCCATGACAGCTTCCCATGGACTGCTTTTGCATCCACCTTTGTTTTGCGTTTTAATCCGCTGCACGTTCTCTGAGCTGCAGGCACTTTTCGACGTTCACTGGCGGGGCTTGGACCTTAAGAAACACATCAGCAAATGCCGGGCTGGAAACGGTTTAACATGAAGTACCAAGAGGTGCTAGTTGGGCAACGGTTGCTGAAACGCAGCACCAAGGAATATAGCACATGCCCAAACATCCATATATATATAACCCATGCTTTGCAATGAACAGTGGATTGCCGTCCATCACACCAGGGAAGATGCAGAGTCGAAAAAAATAACAAAAACAAAAAAAAACAAGAAGTTCCAGGGCAGCTCGATTCTGGGACTCTACCTGTCCGCATCATCGCTATCTGGTGACTTGGCTTATTAATCATCGATTTTAGTGCCGATCCTGTACGGCAAAGCCACTGACAACGCTTCATGCTCGGGCAGCTCTTAGTTCCATGCCCTTGCTGCTGCTGACGTTCGGACCTTAGGTTGTAATTTGGCAAGGTCTGTAACATCACTGATAGCAAGAAAACGGCCTCCAGGCACACCACCGAAGCGCAGCCTGGCCCCTCCATGTTTAGCAAACCTGGGAGACAGCAAAAAGCAAGCTGTAGCCTCGAAGTCACGCGACCAGGTGCTTATCTTGGCGATCCATAATTAGATATGTACACATTCTTATTTGAGCCCCCCTGGGCTGGGACCTTTTCAGGAGGAAAAGATCTTAAATATGTGCCACAGTAAGTATGTGTGTAGTGTATGTCAACGAACAATCAAATAACAAACACGCGTTATACAGTTTGTGAGAGTGCTATCAAGTTGTGCAAAAGGTTGTTTGAAAGCTGTGGGCTTTGCACCGGTTCCATGCTTAGTCCTTCCAACTCATACCCAAATTAGACCAGCATAGAACCCAAACACTTTAACCAGCTTGGGTCTAAATATACCGATACATCATACAGATACATGTTTCTCAAGAAAGACCCCCTAAACAACACGCCGCTTGCGGAAAAAACACATGACTAAACATATACATACACAAAGTTGATGCTTGGACATGAGCCCTCTACCACCCTTAAACCAGAAAGGAAAATAGCTGTTCTTTCACATGAGCGAAACAGCTGCTTGTAAAATGCAAGGAGAGCTAGCACCAATATGAGACCCATATTGATCATAGTAGAGTTTGTCCTCCAACTTCTTGCTTTGGATTCCCAGGGGGTTTGCATATTGCAAAGCGAGCTCTACTGTCATATTGAGGATGCTTCGCAGTCATCAATACAGTATGTAGAAACCATGTCCCAAAATTGCACTGTTGCGCTCGTTGCTTGTAGCAGGATTTGTTCTTTCAGTTCAGAAATTTGGAAAACAACTTGCTCTGGGAGCGTAGAGAGCCTGCGGGCATGTTCGCAACATTTCAGCCGTCTGTTTTACGCCTAACAATTCTTGCTCGAAAACCCATCTCCAAGCTCCCAAGAACAGGTCGCGATCAAGAGAGGTGCTTGGACTACCCTTCTCCTGCAAAAATCACTGATGTGGTCTCGTAAAGTCATCGAGTCGTAACAGCAGCTTCAAGTGGATTCGCGAAGAAGGAGGTAAAGCAACCACGTTCACTCCGCAAACCATCTGATCATTCTGGCGTAACCTTTCGAATACTGGTAATTTCTTAGAAGAACGCGGCCACAAAATTATGCTACTCGTTGCTCTGAATAATATATACTGTATATATATATAACTCCGCTACTGACATCAATCCAACGAACACCAAACTACAGGTTTGCATCCTATCTGAGAAAACATTGATTTATGATTTATGTAGTCAGTCCGGAGATTAGATGGACCTGAGAAATTAGTATTAGAATGTATTAGAACCCTATGATAACCTATGAGGTTCGTGTAAAGTTTCATTGGTTGGGATTGCTCTATTTGTTTTTAAGGTCTCTTCACGTGTGATTCTTTTGTATTGGATTCATTGAACTCTTGCCTCAGGTACAAAGGGTGTGAGTTCTTTATCTTGATGTTCGTTAATTTAATGTAAAGGCATGTATTTGAGCCTAGGTTGCTTTCAAACATTTACTGCTGAGTTAAACACGTGTGCCATGCGCTGCATGTATGACACCTGCCCCCCCTGATGGTTACACATTGGTTTAAGTTCCCAGAATCTTGGCACCGGGGGCATACAGTATCATGGAAGGTAGCACTAACTCTGTGTCAAGAGTATAGTGTCAATGACAGAAAATTACAAAACTCTCAAACCTGGGCTCTGGCCAGCTACCTCTGTGTAAATCCACAGGGGGGCCGCCCCGTCATGGCCACCGCCTGCAACCAAAGCCACGCAAAAGGCCATAAGTAAAGGCTGTGATCCACTGCTGTGGTCAATGCTGCACTTCCCCTCAAACATGTGCAGCTATGAAGTGTTCAGTGCTTGGCCTGGCTCGGCAGGGGCCATATCCTGAATGTTAGCAGGTAAGAGGTCATCTGTCAAGTGAGCAAGTGCGTAGTTAGTTATATTGTTAGATAGTGATATTTAGTGATATCCGTACACACACAAAATTATACAAGCATAGACCCCAAGCAGCTTCAAAACGACTCGTTTAGACCAATATTAATCAAAAATCGATTTCTTGGTACGCCCTACCTTCACCCCAAGAGCAACCTGCTTCATCAATGAATTTTCGTCGGCATTGACATCGCTATTTGTTCGGCCTCACTCCGCTCCAGTAAACCGGGCCACAGAGACCAGCCACAGAGTTCAGGGGTGCGGCCAAGACAAGGACAAGAGGAGGACAAGACCCGGACACAGAGCCCAGCCACAGAGTTCAGGGGCGCCGCCAAGACAAGGACAACAGGAGGACAAGGCCTGGACACAGAGCCCAGCCACAGAGTTCAGGGGCGCGGCCAAGAGGAGGAACACAGAGCCCAGCCACAGAGGACAAGAGGAGGACAAGGCCTGGACACAGAGCCCAGCCGCAGAGTTCAGGGGCGCGGCCAGCGTGTGTGGCCAGCTCTTTTTTTTTCTAAGATAGAACCCCGACAGTAAACTGTTTGGGGAAAAAGTAATTTTCAATTCGACGGCATGAACCGCATACAGTATCTAAAACCTACCAACCCTTGAACCCCTGGAGGCCCACGCCGCTCTCTCAGCGAGGCTGGGACCCAATGCTTGAACCAAGTTTGCAGTTTGGGGAAAAATAGGCCTCAAGCTTAAATTGTTTAGTACAAGCATGTTTGGATTCGATATGCTTGGATACCTTCAACATCCTTCAACAAGAATTGACATCTAGTTGGCAGCTGAATCTTCTTTTGGCCAAGAGTTATAGTTATACTGTAGTTATTGACTACACAAACTCCTTAGGAGTCTGGCATAGTCTGTCGCAAAAAGTGTAACTGCCAATAATTACTGTAACGTTTCGGGCCACGACCTAAATATGCAACATTTGGAGGATCATAAGGAGGCGCTGCTGCGCTACTGGAGAAAGATCTTCCCTAAACAAAAAAAAAGGTGAAACAGCAGCTGCTGCTACCTCTGCGTCTCAAATCGCAATCACACCAGCCAAATGCTGGACAAAGTGGGATGGGATATTCACTACTTCCTGGTTCGGCAAGCATACTTCCACCAGCATTGCGTCACGGGGAACATCATCGGACTGGTCACACCCTTGAATCCGGGCGGGCACCCAACCATCGGCACCCCCACGATATACCATGACTGCATCTTCTGGCGAAAATCGCCGGCGGACCCGGTCATAAGCGACATCATGCACAAGAAATGGACCTTCTAGAGCGTCGGTGCTTCCAACCAAGGGAGATTCATCCTGGTCAACGAGTTGTAGCAGGGCCTGTGACCGAGAAATGCTGGAAATCGTAGCCTTTCGCCACATCTGGATTTTCTCTCGAACTGAGAGGGAGGTATGCGCAGTCTGCTGCAGGCCAATGTACAGATAGAAAACTGGCTCGTCCACTTGGAATGCTGGATGTAGCAAGCTGCAAGGCACCTTCAAAAAAAGCAACAAAAACCTCGGCTAGATGCCGCGACTACACACAATTACACATATATATATATATAATGTTACAATAATAACTTATAAGTACCTGAAGCATATGCTGTTGCCAAAATGAAAGCAAATGCAAGAGCAAACCAACATTTGTCAGCTTCAGCCCTCACCTGTTGCCGTAGCTGGTGCTTGGGTCCAACAAGCACATCGTAGTGGGCCTCAGCAGTGTCCGGGAAGTAAGCATGGCCAGAGATCCTGCCTGGCCATAGTGCCTGATGTTGTTTGGACCAGTAACTCACTGGATCACCATGCTCAAAAACTCCATGAAGTTCATCGTCCAGTTGCGGCAAAGCCTCCAGTTCCGAAGGAAAGCGTTCAGAGGAGGGAGCCAAAGGAGACTCTGCGTTCAACTCCTCCGCTTCCACACTAGAGGCAAATTTCCGTAGTTCCTCCTTTGTAGAGTTCTGTGTTGCTTCCCTCTCCACAGTCTGCACTTTTGTCTGAGGAGCATCCAGGTTCAATCGCACGGAGCGATGGCCCTGCAAATGTGGTATTTGAGGCAGAAGCTTTTTAGGATCAACGTCCCAGCGCACAAGCACTTTTTTCGAAGTGAAAGACGCTCCATTCTCGATGTCATGTTCACTCTTCTCAATTTGCTCAACTTCGGATCGGGTGAAAGTCACTTCGATTGTTCCTCCCCTCTGAGCCCTGATCTTTGTTTTTCCAGCTGCCGGAGTGTGCACTCGTCGTGACATCCACACCCCGGTGAGGCAACAAACAATGAATGCAGTCGCACCCATGATTGCGAGAGCTGCTCCATAAGCTTCCACATCGAGATTCTGGTCAGATGCATCGATAAGCAAGTCAAAAGGAATCCTTTGCACCACGGCGAAGAGCGACAAATGACTTGATAGGCACCAGGTGCCATTGTCAGCCACTCCTGTGATTTGTCCGGCCGTGTTGTTTGCCAAGTGCAGCCCATCTGGAGACCAAACATTTTGGATCAAATCAAAGGACGCACAGTAGTCCCCTTCGACGGGTGCATCTTCTTTGATTCGAAAGCTTAATGGCTCCAGAAGATCTGAGATGTTCACAATCTCCACAGCTCCAGCCACTTCCTTCACAAGGGAAATGTCCAGCACCCTGGAATTGGCCAGCACTGTCGTATCACTGGGGCCACCTCGAGGCATAGACTCAGAGATGTTCCTGCCGACGCTTAGCAAGACCAGCATCAAATTGCCCTCAACCTGGCCAGGTCGCAATGTGAGCCACCACAGTCACAAGCTTATACTGTTTTACTATGTTTTATTGAAACTCAAGAGCAGTTGCATTGTCTTGCAATGTCTTGCACATGTTTAAACTCGGAATTGTCAGCTTGAGTGATACAGTGATACATATAGTGATACCCACCGGCCTCAGCATCAGCTATTAAAAAGGCAGGCAAATGAAGCAGCAAAGAGCTGGAATCGTTATTGCTTTCACCACCAGAGGCACTGAATGTGAACACCAAGGACTGATCTGACTGGCCAATCTTTTCTAATTTGACCACAGTAACTTTTCCAGCAGGCGTCTCGAAAACGGCAGATTCTTCTTGCGAATTGAAAGCAGCAAGGGCACTCTCAAGCGTAGCAATCACTACAGAACCTTGCGGATTGCCACCGTCAACAGCAGCCGGAAGCACAACGGTTTGCTTCAATGTGGTTGTGCTGGTGCTTGTAGTGCTACTGCTCGTGGAGCTAGTGCTGGTGCTGCTACTTGACGTGATAGAGCTGCTGCTAGTGCTGGTGCTGCTGCTACTCGTCGTTGTTTGACTAGTCGACGTGCTACTGCTCGAGGTTGCGGTTGTGAATGTCGACGTGGTCATTGTTGTGGTGGTTGTGCTGCGAGTTGACGAAGTGCTGGTCATCGTGGTGCTGCTGCTGGTGACAGAAGTCTCTGTGGTGCTGCTGGTGGTGACAGAAGTCTCAGATGTGGTGCTGCTGGTGAAGGTAGTGCCTGTGCTGCTGCTGGTGGTGAAAGAAGTCCAGGTTCTGCTGCCGGTTGTGCTAGTCAAAGAAGTCTCTGTCGTGCTGCTTGTGTTTGTAAACATAGTGGTGGTGGTGATCGTGGTTGTAGTACTGACATTTGCATTCATGACACTTGCTTCAGTGCGGTATGTTTGCAGGTCGTCAAGTCGGGTCCCTTTCCAGCCACCAAACACATACATAGCACTCATTTCTGAATCCCATACTGCTGAGTGAGACATGCGCACTTCTTGTTCTGGGCCAGTGGTCAGTTCTACCCAATTGTTCCCCTCCCTGGAGTAAGCATGCAAGTCGTTGAGGTAGCCATCATTGGAGCCACCGAAGACATACATTCTCATCACTGATGCGCCCCAGATCGCCGTATGCTTGAAGCGTCCGTCCGGGAGAGTGCCACTGGGGAGCAGCTCTGTCCAAGAGTTGTCCTGGCTGGAATAGAAGTGCAAGTCATTTAGGGAAGACCCATCATAACCACCAAAGATGTACATCCCCGCCACAGCATCATCCCATACTGCGGTGTGACCGTCGCGAGCAGATGGTAGAATGCCTCCGGGTGACAGCTGGGTCCAGGAATTATCCTGGCTGGCGTAGAAGTGCAAGTCGTTCAAAAATGACCCCGCATTTCCACCAAATATGTACATCCGAGCATTTGCAAGGTCCCACACAGCTGCGTGCTCCTCGCGAGCCTGCGGCGCAGAACCCGAAGGGAAAAGCTCTGTCCAGGAATTTGACTGCCTGGAGTAGTAGTGCAAGTCATCAAGAAAGTTCCAGCCTTGGTACTGCACATGGCCGGCAAACACATACATCCCGGCAGCGGATGGATCCCATACTGCAGTGTGCTCACTGCGAGGACTTGGTTCAATGCCATTGGGTGACAGCTGCGTCCAGGAGCTGGTCTCCCTGGAGTAGCGATGCAGGCCTGTGCCACCATCACCACCAAAGACGTACATGAATGCAGTCTCTGCATCCCAAACTGCAGTGTGAGAGGAACGGGGAATTGATGAGATGCTAGGCACCTCCCAGGCTGCCTTATTCAAGGCAAAGTTCAGGCCGATGACGAACCCGAACAACATGGAAGTCACACCAGCGCCGCTGAGTCTATTGTCCTTGAGCCAACAAAAGCCAAATGCAGTGCTGGTGAAGCACATTCTCACGAGCCAAATCCAAGTGCATCAAGTGTTGCCATGCTGGCATATCATGGCCACCCTTCTGGACAAATGCGCTGTTTCTCAAGTGTTCTGCTGCGAAAAGCATCAATTGCGACGCGGAACCTGGACAGTCTCAAACCTCTGTGCTCCAAGGTCAGTTTCTGCCAATTCAGCACTACACACCATACAAACACAACAACCGCTGCTGCAATTGTGCTATCAAAACATATCACACTCTATAAATCATAATGAAGCTTGGGTCCAAGGGGGGCATAGTTGTATTTTTGATTGATGCATTGTTTGGCAGCTTTTGGGCAGCTTGCGGGAACAAAACATACCTCAGTGTGGAAACACAGAGATTGAATCTCGTCCTTTTCTAGGGTCTCGAAGTGGGACTGGCCCTTGCTATCCCTCACTATACTAACTCACCAGCATATTTTGGCCGAGAATTCCCGACAGAGCCGCAGCAAAGGCTGGTAGGCTGCTTGCTCGTTGCACAGACCCCCAGCATCAAGGCATCCGCTCAAGCATTCAAGCATCATATGCACCTGGATTTGATGGGCTAACCGGGCTCGACGTGTTTTTGGCTAGCGGAGTTGCCAGTCACAAGGATATCACTTTTCTCTCGCAGAGTCCAAATGGATTGACCCATCATAATTTCAACAGGTCAATCTTGGCTCCTGAAGCTGTACATCAAGCTACAAGGATGTTCTCTTGAATCCTGACTTTGGCACTTGAAATGCATTACATTAATCAATTCCAAACCAAGTTATATATATATAATCATATCTATATGTAATATTATCACTAATATTATTAATATTCTCATTTATCACATCTCCTACAACTGTGAAGCCAACCGGATTTGTCAAAAACAGTCTATCTGGTCTAGCACTTTGTATGTGGTCTTTGGCTGCCGCTCATGTCAGAACCAGTCTCCAGCCTTTCTTAGGCTCTTCCCCTTAGCTCGCTACAGAATGAAAGTGGAAACGTTGCTCAGGATCTGAGCCAGTCTGAGCTGCAGAAGGTTGTTTCATGTTGTTCTTGAATGTTCGATTGCCCTGGACCCACTGAAACAGCTTTAGGACTACGCCGATGACTGTTGCGCATCTTCTGACCGAGTGCGGATTGGACTTCTGTTCTTAGAATTGCAAGAAGGTAGTCTTCCTCATGGCATTTGGCATTAAATCTACCACCAACACTGTTAAATCATGGCACCAAGCGACCTTGTTCTGCCTCTGCTGCTTGCTGGGCTTGCTGCGTTTGCAGCGCTTGCTGTCTGTCCAGCAGCCTGAGAAGGAAGGTTGCAGCCGCACTTGGGTTATGTGCTGCACAATGTTTACGCCAATGTACGCTTGAGAAAAAGAAAGAAACAAGAACAGGCCAAGCGCACCACCTATTGAAAAAAAACAGGCGGTAAATGTGAGTTTATATACCAGGAGGACCATTGTAGCCGGTAGATTGGTTCACCTTGCACCCAAAGAAACTTGACTGGACTGGAGTGTGTCATCTCTCTAAGGCGCGTGGGGGCACAGGGTGTAGATCTGAGAATCAAAGCGCCCGTGCCTGAGCCGCAAAGTGGCATGTTCTGATGTGTTTCCAAACAGGCCTGCCCGTCTTCGAGCTTTTCAGGCAATCCTGACCTAATCCCGACAATGATCATCAAGTTGATTCATCATCAAACAGGTCCTTTCGTAGCTCGATGTAGCCTGTGGGGGCTCTTGGGATCAATCAAATGCCAGGCAACCCTGGAGGCCGAAAGCATTAGTTATATACTGTATCGTGTCAACCCAAAAGTTCTGAGACGGCGATGGTTGCAAAGGGAAGATTCCGTAGGGCTGAAGGCTCTCGACAGCGTCCTCAAACGACAAGGCAGCTCCAGTTGCTGGTTCATGCGAAGAAAAAGACTCATCGTGAAATTTGTACAAAGTATGCAATTCTTAGAGCAATTAACAATTTTGCCGCAATTATTCTGAATTCATTCCTGAGCATGCAAAATTGCACTTGTCAAATCAACAAGTGTTGGGGGTAGTTGTAGATATTGTAGATTTGAGATGTGCGGAATCAATCAATAGGGTGACAAGAATCGGCATCGCGAATGGGATTGTCTTCCAGGTTCAAGGTCTGCAGCGTAGTGTTTCTGGTCCAAATCCAAAAGGAAGCACCTGGCAAGCTGCTTGAAGTAGAAGCTTGCTGCCCGAAGCCTTGTGCTGACGTCCTTGTAGGGAGGGTAGCTAAGCTGTACGTTCTTCCAACTTGAATTGTCAAAAAATTGCAGCTCCATCACAATGAATCGAAAGCCTGAAGGGCCCCTCAACCCAGCCTGCATCATCCTTGAGTTCCTCACAAGTGTCCAAATGGGGGGCTGGCCAGTAGCGCTCTCCTAGGTTTGCAGCATCCGCTTGATAGTCACCACTGAAGGGGCGGTTATCAACCGATATGTAGTTCAAAGGTTGAAGGACTTTTTGAATCTTGCCATCGGTTGTCTATCGAGGAGCTCAAGTTCTGAGGCTGGCACTTCCATTTCCATCCTTCGGTGGTGCTCCGAAAGCTTTCTTCTTCTTTTCGAACTCCTGTGAGCTCACCAACTGCACTACCAAATGGTGGAGAAAATCATACGACCATGGGCAAGAAGCTTAGTACTGTAGTAACAAATGTAATACTACTAGTAGCTAGAAGCTACTAGTAGCAGGGGCTTCCCATTGGGCGTCTTGGAACAGCCCCACGTCAACAAGCAGCATGCCACAGCCCGGCTGTTGGGTCCTTCTGCTGGTCCTGCCAGGTTCACAGGCTGTTGAAAAGAACTCTTGTGAAACATGTGTGTGAAAGTGTTGATCTTAAACCTGAGTCTGAATCTGCGCATGTTGCTTTGGACTTGCCTTCAGACTCTTCAAGATCTTGTCCGCCACTGCCTGTGACTGCTCTTTAAACGTAGCCTATTTTTGCTTATCAAAATCAGCTCGTGCCATGGTTGTGCGCTATGCAGCATGGGACAAGGAAAATGCATTGCCAAGGAGCGGCTGACATGTTCATGATAGCTCAAACTGCTGGACAGTGCAGTGGCTTAAGCATCCCCAAAGCAATCCGACCAGGATCCTACATGATCCTACGGGCCTTGTCAGTGAGGTGGGTCACACCCAGAACTTGGCAAAGAATTTGCAGGCCCACATGGGTGACATAATTTCCTCAGCGCATACTCAGCACTCAGCGATCGTCAGCTCCAGGTTGCGGGAGCAAGCGTCCAGTGAAAGGTCAGCGCGCCACGCATGCCAAGCATCTCCCGAGCCCTAGGAATTGCAAACCAAAGTTGAACTCAAGAGCCTGTGCAAATTGTGCGAGTACATCTGCTGCAAAAGTTGCTACAAAGAATGGCAAACAATTGTTGACGTTTGCATTGAAAGAAGAGTGAGGCTGGAAGCAAGTACCTAACTGCCAATTGCTTCAACGGCTCAACTGAAAATTGCCAAAGCCTCTGCGAGGTACTTGACACTGCGGTCACAAATCTTGTTTCCTCAGACGGGGCCAGCGGGACAAGTACTCAGTACCTGGGCTTGTGATGATTTGTGCAGCTGAGTATCTTTGGAGCATCTCTACTGTAACCGAAGACTTGGGGATGCTCTTTGGAAGATCGGGCTCTGTCGGGTGCTGACTCTCCATCTCTTGAAAAGGACCGACCGAAGACTTGGAGGTACTTCGAGGTACTTCGAGTCCGAGAAGCCCCAAAGATTCAGTGCCCTCAAATGCGGCGATGGTGACGCTAAGGCTGCGCTGATGGCCTGAAGCTTTGACGAGGCAAACAAGGAAGCTTCCGGTATTTTGGCTCTTCCAACAGAATTGTTGCAGTCCCGCTCCACCATTCTGTCTGCAAAGGGTGGATGGCAATCCAGCATCCAAACATATAACTCATGGCATCTCATGGCTGTTGATGCCTATGACCTGCCTATGATCGACCGTTCTCTTCCCAGTTGCCTGCACTTCTGGCCGGCTGAGGTTGCAACACCTCGCCGAGACGATTCCGGGCGCTATGCATGTGACCAAAGAACCATGAGCATACCGTATTCTTGTCACTTGTCCCCATTCGAAGTAAATCAAAATCGTTAAAGCCACGGTGCAAACATGGAAACGCAATGAAACGCAAACGTATACAAATTAAATGTGGAAAACGGTTGCCTGCGGCCTGAGGCACAAGATAAACTTTGTCTGAGCTGGATGTGAAGCATCAGGCCTACCCTCGTCACACAGTGAGTGCAGCCCGTGTTTGGTACCTTGTTGCATTGTAGTAACACAATTAAGTAGCACCTTTAGCCTTTAGCTTCTTGTGGAGCTCAAAACCATTCCCCTCAGCATCCGCCTAACCCGCATTAATCCTCATTATAGGATTATATATATAAGCCTGCTCCCACAGCTAAAGAGGCTGTCCCGCACCTGAAGGACAACATCTCCAAAGGACTTGTTTTGTCCAGAAAAGCCTCAGCTGAAACATGTCACCCAATTTCACGTCTGGAATTCCACAGCGGATGCAGTGAACACTTGGAGACTGATGAAGCCAATGTAGTCAAGAGGCGGCAAAGGCATTGCCAATCTCATCCGAGAATTCGGGCGGCTGAGCTGGAGGAATGAGCCTACCCGCACCAAGAACACAAAATCTGCTACGTTTCCAATGGCGTGCCTGCCTTCTCTGTGCGTGACTGCTAGTTGCTTTATCATCAACAACCATCGTGAAACCATCAGCTTCTTGGGAGTGTGCCTCTCTTCAGTGGATATCTCGTCTCTTGGCAGGGCTTCCAGCACCTCCTCTCAAGTAAGATTCTTGTTGGGAAAAATGCTAGGCAGGGGGGAGGTGATGGTAACATAGATTCACACCAGCGCTGGTCCTGCAGTTTTGCAAGAGGCACGAGGCCATCTCCTGCACCGTGGTCGGAGTCTAGGATGTTGAAAATCGGCTCACAATCCTCATGCAGTCAGTGTTGCTGCAATTCCATCAACCAACCACTGCCCCCTTCTGCCGTGCAGTACTTCAAGAATAGCACGTGCTCATCTACACCTGGACTATGGCAC